AATTGCTGAAACAATTTTATATTGATATTATCTGATTGGTTAAGGAAACCAGGAAGGGTTTGGTGTTTTTTCCGGGAAGGAGGTGTGTTCTTGTTCGTTCGTTCGGAGGTGGAGAAAATAAAAACTGCCTTCAAAGGATTCCATCTCTCCTTTTGCCCATTTTTAAAGTAGAGCTATCCACTGAAAAACTACGAACCTCTCAACTTACACTTATGCCGATGGCTGATAGTTGTGCCCCAAGTGATCTGCAAATTACTTGGCCACAGTATGTCATCTAACATGTAATCTCATGGCTAAAAAGTCCAGAAGCAGTGCTTCTATCCGTTAATAAATGACTTAACAATGTTATAATATTACCTCTGAGTTGCATCATTCACTCGTCTTTTTTTTAATCCATCCATTCTTCCTTTTGTCTTTGAGTTCTGTCGCTCTACTAAAGAAAAGGAATACTGATGTATTGAAAAAAAAAATGATGCTAAAATAATCTGTGTTAACACTGCTCTTTTCTTTTGGCTTTGAATAGCAACTGCGCCAAAATTAAAAACTGATATATTGCTGAGGACTACTGTCCCAACATAGTGTTGGTGCTAAGGCCTTCTTGCAGCACTTCCAACTTTAGCTTATCAGTTGGCACTTTTCTTCCTCTCCTCCCCCTGTCTCAGTCACCGACAGGCGCTGATGTGGTGGCCTCGGCGAAGCTCCACGTCGCTAATCCGGGACGTGAGGTTATATTGACGGCGGTGCAGGGATTGGAGGCTTTATCAAAGGCAGAAGGCGCAGCAACAAGCGTGCTGTCGTTTGAAATGCTGAGAGGCGATGTGAGCCCGTGTCACCTATCAGAAAGAGAACCCTGACGAGCCTTTGAACTCCCAACAGTCTGCCACATCATACACATATATAGAAGATATATAAATAAAAATGTGCGTGTGGCAGGCGCACAACACGCGCGTTGGTTACACTTTTGCTCGCCTTGACACAAACAATCGTCTCCTCAAATCACCCTGAACGCAGCTTGGGAGGCCTCAGAAGAGGGAATCGGGAATAAGGTTACAGTGTGACAATGCGAAAAAAAGACTGCAACAAAAACAAATCCATGACATAAAGGGAGCAGCGAAAGAAGATACAAAAGCACGACTTCCAAGAGTGATTTTTTTTTTTTTTACTTTGCCACTGGTGGGGCCTTCCAGGCAAACGGGTAGCTTGCAAAGCGCATTGTCAAGCTGTTCATGCATTGTTTTATTCACTCTCCTTGTCTACATCCATATTTTAGTGGCCCATACTTCATGCGCAATAATGTGAGCCAAAACAAGGACAAGATGGACTTCACATCGTCACTCGGTACACAGTAGGGATGTCGCACGGTTTTTAAAATGTAAGTGCGCCAACACCACAGTTATTCGCACGCGGGTTAATTATTCAAAACCAGACGAAAACATTAAGAAGGACAGAAAATTGCCTTTTTAATTGCTTGAATACAAACAGTTACTTAGGTGTAAAATTAAACACCGAAGTAAAGTTTTTCTAATTGCCTATTTCTGAAAATGTGTCTGATGAGAAGTGAATACATCTGCACTTCTGCCCCTGTTACATAACAGTGGAGCAAATGGATATAATAATCACTCCCATACTAGTTTTTCCTCCATCCATAAAATAATCAGATAAGATGACAGAATCAAGAGCCACTTTCAAGTGTGTGGCTGCCAGTCCCCCGATGTGCAACACTACTGCTACTGTATCATATCAAAGCCAAACGGTAAGCAGAGCTGCGTCAAGACCGGCTATTTGTAGCACCCCTAATCCTCTGATCCGAGAATCACCTGATTTTAACTCATGTACAGGCACTTTGAGTTGCATTTTTTTTTTTTGTATGGAAAGTGCAAGAAATAAATAAAGTTTGACTGGCACTGATTGACAGAAAAACTATTTCTAATTTTGCTTGCCGGTCAGTCAAAAAATGGCCGAACGACGGCTGGTATCACCAAATACTTAGTTGGGTCTGATGTATCTCAAGACACTGCATTTACCAATAAAATTACTGTTGTCGTGTATATTACATGCTGTGTTTAATCGAGAGTTTCCTTGTAAAAGTTTAATTATGGCTTGGTTTAACATGTGATGAAAATAAGCTGTAGCGTCGAGCAATACATGCATTTTTAATGACCGTATGCATCATTGCTGCTAAACGTGTGCTGAAATGTACTGCTGCACAAAGTGCTGTAAAAAGAGAGCCATCGTGGAAAGGGAGAACAATATGTGAACGAGCGCGAGCAGGGTGCCGGGTTATTGCTGCCATGCATGCCTCCTCCGTCCAAGCGGCTGTTTTCCCTGATAAAAATAATGTTTCCTGGCTTCCACTGCTGGAAGGCACTCGCTCCAGAGGATGTGCTCTCTCATCCAGGAGCTTCATAAATGTTTGTTTTTGTTTTTTTGGCAGTTACGGCGCTCCTTTCCCCAGATACTGCACAGAGCCAGACTACAGGACTACCCAGCAGACTTTGCATGTTTGGTCGGCGAGGAATAGATTGATGGTTCCAATCTGTGGTGGGCCTTCTTTACAAACAACACTTACAGCCTGCATTTCAAGACAGTGTAACAGTATAAGACAGATGGATAAAATTTACATGGACATCTATACAGTCTCTGCTATCTGAACTCATTCTAGGTCCTTGCAGAAGATAAAGAATATATCACTGACAGCACTGTTATATTGAATGTCTAAATGTGTTGCTGCAGTGTTTGTGTTCAAATAGAGTATTCAAGGTTTATATATGCATTACAAGGTTTATATATGCATTACTCGTCATGTGTTAGCATTAAGCTAGTGAGCTAAACGTTAAGTTCTGTTGTTGTTGTTCTTGTTGTTGTTGTTGTGACTTTTGGCTTGTGTTTTCTGTAGATCTCTTTGTTTTGTATCTCTCAAAAATGCACTCTCAAGTCAAAGCAAGCAAACAAAATGAATTACGACTCAGCGTTTGAAAAACTCCTAAATCGGGTCACTGGTGACTCTGGGCACCACAGCATCTGAAGCATTGCATATGAAGACTTACCGGGGGCCCCCCGGTGGTCTACAATTTTGACCTGATAGTGGTGGTATTGAGGTAGATTCAGTCAGTTTAGTTCCCACTGAAGGCTAAATTACCAAGCACATGGCCGACCACTGGTTAGTGTCAATAATCTGTCTTCTCCTGTGGGTTGTACAAGGTTGGGTGTCACCATTGATTTCCTTGGACTGATGAAGCGGCAGTCATTGGGAAATGGAGCGGTTAATCCTTTAAACATAGTCTAATTTACCTCGCTTATGTTAGATTACAGATGGGGAAACCCCTGAGGTATGTTAGATTTTTTTTTTTCCTCCTTCTACCCTGCAAGGTCCGCTGACTGACAGAGGCAAATGAAAAAGCGGCAAGCCACACCGCCATGTCAGTGAAAGACAAGGCATGTGTTGTTTTGAAAATCCATTAAGAGAGAGAGAGAGAGACAGAGAGACGCAAAGAATTTAGTGATCATTGGCTCTAAACAAGAGAACCTAGGGAACGTTCCGCAATTTGATTTCAGCAGCTGAAAAGTAATCATTTGCCTCAGTTGAGGTGATAGATGAAGGACGTCGGCAGTGACAACAGTATGTGCTGTGTGTCAAGCGGAAGTTAGATTGTGTTTGTGCAGAGCCCAGCACCATACTTGGAATTCTGGGCACACTTTGGCTCTTTACCGGGCAGGGATGAGGGAATGACAGAAAATGAACACGCAAGGGGGAGGAGGAGGAGAATAGATGGCGGGTGATCAGTGAGGAGGGCGTTGATTCCAACGCGAAGAAGGAATTGATTAAGTCTGTGGAGATTCACTTCACAACCTCTGACAGCAATGGTGATGTAAGTTTTTCTCCTCTTACTCTGCTACTATCAATTGACAATAGGGTGTATCTTTTTCTTTACACAATTCTTTCACTTGCCCCAAAATCTCAGCCACGAGTTGTGCCTGCGTCTCAGTGGAACCTCGAAACCAGGGGTGGGCCACTTCTGTTCTCAAGGGCCACATTAAAAAAAAAAAAAAATTATATGGTGTACATGTATAAACTGTAAGTATTTGTGTATGATGGTCGACGGGTTAGCATGTCCGCCTCACAGTACAGAGGTTTGATTATGTGCTCGGGCCTTCCTGTGTGGAGTTTGCCTCTAGACGCTGTGTCTGCGTGGGTTTTTGCCAGGTACTCCGGTTTACTTCAACATTCCCAAAATATGCATGGCAAGTTAAAGTACAACTAGAGTATGTACTTGAGTATTTGTGTAATGAATTAAGGGGTGCGGCCTAGTGAGTATGCAGACAAAGCCAGGTTGGCTTTGTCTGCATATGAGCGTCTGGGCATGAGTTGTGGCCTACAGCAGTTGCTTAGGAGTATTCCCATTTTGTATTTATGTTTTTGGCTGTTTGTCTCATTTTGAAAGTGCATTGATGACTGCGGCTCTCCTTGCCCATATGCTATGGCATTTCAGTACCCAAAATGACTCCATTTTATTCCGCTTCCCACGAGCGACGGCGGATCAGAAAATTGCTTTTCCCAAACATTTTGGCTCACAAAATGAAATCGACAAAAGCAAGAACAGCTCAGAAAACTTGTAAGTTGAGGCACTTGTACATCAAGATACCACTGCATTGTAGGAAGCTGGAGAAAACCTGACAAAAGACACGGGCAAAATGCACTTGAATCATCTTGCTGTGAGACGCCAGTTGTGTTGCTCTCATGAAAACACCTCTTTCCAAAGCAAGTTTACATTGTTACTACAAAAGGAAACAAATCACATGCGAGTGGGAGTGCACGGCCGGGAGGCTCACACCCGTATAAACACGGCAGTTTTGTGCCATGGCGCTAAATCGAGAAGCAGGTATGAAAACCTCCGGAAGCGGCGAGATGAAACGCTTCCCACAAAACAACCGGCAGCTCAAGTCTGATAAACAGAAATACAGAAATGGAAGGATTGTAAACTTGCACATTTGCCACTCACCATCTTCCTTGCACTCTTCCGGAGGCTTCGCCTTCTTGGCCAATCGAGGATCCAGCCATGATGTGGTCTTGGTGTTGTGACTGTACAAAAAGATGAAGAAGACGACAAGCGGGAGAAGATCGTTAGATTAAAGTAACATTAATGACCTGGATCCAAGTCAGCGAGCCTGATTAGCAAACATTAAGGTGCATCAATTATTCAAAAGAGAGGTCTGGCAGTGTTGGGAAGTTGACACAACAAACCACACAGAAAGCAGAGGGGGAACAATCCAACACGACTAAGTGCGACACGAGGTGCCAAAAGTACTCACACTTACATAGTTTTACTCCCCCTACATGGTTTAAGCCCATTTACACTTACTAGGCGCAAAAAACACAAGCGAGAACATTCAAATAGACATTCTCCCCATAAAAATCAGTGCTGAGACACACATGCGGCCAAGAAACACACCCATCAAGCACAGATTTTTCTCCTTTGATGAATGTCATGGCCTAAACGCTGTACACAACAGGTCCACACGAAGGACAACAAACACCATATGACAAAAACATCCATCCATCCATCCTTCCATTTTCTGATCCACTTTATCCTCACAAGGGTCGCGGGGCGTGTTGGAGCCTATCCCAGCTGTCTTCGGACAGTAGGCGAGGGACAGACACCCTGAACCAGTTGCCAGTCAATCGCAGGGTCATATGACAAAAGCAAACGACAAAAAAAAACAAAAAATGCAGCGCTCTTGAAGACGGCTGCCAACTACGGCGCCATTTTGGTGGGAAGGCGTCTATTCAGAGAAGCATCTCCCTTTGTTGTTTATGCTGGCAATCCACAGTTCAAACTCCTGGTTGCCACGACAACAGTCACGACAAGGGATCTTCCCATCCTCATGCTCCAGACGATTGACAGCTTCAGCCGCTCTTTTTTTTTTTCCACCACTTTGTCTCAGAGGCGGACTTAGACTGGTTTTCAATATTTCTACTTCTTCCTCACCAATTTCCTCATGTGAGACTCACTTTCCAACCTAGAATCTAAGCTCCTCGGACATGAGGGTTGACACTTGGACTACTCTATCCTGCAGCATCTTTTTATTATTAGAATCATTTTTTTACTACTCCACTGACTCCTCCACCCAGCTGGGGAATTAAGCTTTTTACACTTACCTTGCAGTCTGGTGGAACGCTGTGGTGGATTTCAAGAAGGTTTTACAATTTCCAGCTCATGAACTTTTAGGAGAAACTCCCCAAACTCGCATATCTCTACGTCAATCCTCTCCGCTGAAGCCTGGAGAGGATCTAATGTACGATAACACAAAAATACTAAATGCACCCTATCGTCACTGTCCTGTGAAAAACATGTATATCCATTTTGTCCATCCATTTTCTAATTCGCTTCTCCTCATGAGGGTCACAGGGATGCGGAGTACACCCTGAACTGCTTGACAGACAATCACAGGCACACATCTATTTTTGTTCCCGGTATTTTAAAATGTTTACATTCATCGGGTGTTTGCATTTCAACATCCAATTAACATAACGTCTGCCCTTGAGAACTGTGCTATGTAACCTAGCTGATCACAACGTCCCATTCTGCAAATCGGAGGTGGGACATTAATTTTCTGAGTCGGCCATGAAACTCAAATGTGGTCAACAGGAATTTATTATGTTTTTATAAAACAGTAAATTGTATTATCTTAACAAGCTGCTACTTGTGTTGCCCTGGTAGAATTATGTTGTTGTAAGGAGGACATAAAAACTGAAAATAAATATGACAATAATAAACACACACAATAAAATGACACTGTATCTGCACATAACATTCACAAAAAATGTCGACAGTGTACATATTTCCCCCCTCCTCTTATTTTCAGTGTGTGCTGACAGCAAATACGATTGGTGCTAACCTGAGGACCACACTTGGCATTGGAAGGATTTTTTTCTCTATTTTCTTTCAATTACTAGAATGGTCAGAGAAATCACTCACTCGAGATGTGGCCCGTGGGCTCTACCTTGCCTAGATGTGTCGTAAAATCGGTGGGTCTCGAAACAAATGAGCACCAAACAACAACCTCTGGTTCTCATTTTTATGTGCAGCCCTGATAATAATAATAAAAATAATCATCATCAATAATTGTTATCACAAATACGTAAATAATGCATTTGTTTCAATAATTATAAAATGTATTGCTTTTCATTTCTTTTTGGCTGTATTTCAACATTTGAGTGTCATATGCTCCATTATTTCATGCACACTGAAGTTGTGACTCTGTTGCAAAACACTGTTCCTTGACAGTAAAAATCATCTCTCAAGGAGTAAAAATAAATAAAACCATTTATGGTTTTTGTCTTACTCAATGAAGTAGACCTCCCCCTTCTCCGTGTATGCCATCTCCCAGTTGTCAGGCAGAGGGCCCAGCTCTTCCTCATCTACATCCGGGACTTTGTTGGGGGACTTGTCCGGAGATTTGGGTGCATCCTCTGCTTCGGTGGGAGCCTCGCTCGTGGCTGCCGCTTGGCTGCAGGTTTCCACGGCAACCTCCCCGGATGCATCGGTGCTCTTGTCCTCGTGCTCGCTGGACTCTGCGCATGAAGAACCGATGCATTATATTTTGGTACAACTCAGGCTTAATTGTTCCTCAAGCGGGCAAGAATGCAAATGGTAGAGTCAGTAGGAATTGACCGCAACTATCACATCAAAATTATCTAATTCATTAGTACTTTGCAAAAATGCTGTACAGGTTGTTTAATAAGTGACATGACAAAACTCATTTCTTAGGATTTGAAAAGGGTAGCAAGACAAAACCGGTTTCGCTTGAAATCATGTTTTGAAAATCTTGTTCTTGCACTGTCTGCTCTTTTAGTAATTTTAGTAAGCATTTATTTTTATTTCTATACTTTTTTTTTAAATCTCTAACTCAGTTTCTAACTGCTTTTAAATGTTGTACTTTTAATGATAGAATGTGAAGCATATTGAGTTACGTTGTGTATGAAACACCCTTTAATCTGATTTTTTTTCAACCCTTAAATACTGGTAATTATCAAAATAATTTTTCATTTCTTATTCAGAGCCCTGTAAACCCCCCCCCCCCAAAAAAAAATACTATTATTCACAAGGTTTTACAGTAGTTTGAAAATGTAGGTCAGTACTGTACTTCTTATTAAAAAAAAAAAAAAGATTCAAAAATTATGACTGAATGTGAATGGTCAGTTGACATGTGCCGTGTGACTGACTGGCGACCAGTCCATACTGTACCCCACCCCTCATCCAAAGTCATCTTGGATGTGATAGAAAAATGGATTAAAGTGTTCCCTCTTAGGCCTCAAAAATAGATAGATAGCTAGATAGCTAGATAGCTAGATAGATAAATAAACGTGTCTTCCTTTCATCTTACCTCCACGAAGGAGGAAGCGAAAACTCATCGCATCTGAGAAGAGTTGTGTGTGCTCTATTCTAGTTATTTCTTGCAAATACTTGGAAATGCCAGTCTGACTCTTTTTTTGTCGGGGGCTGTGCACGCATGCACACACACACACGTGCGCACACACACACACACACACACACACACACACACACACACACACACATGCAGACATGGACTCACACTGCACACTACACACGGCATACATGATGAGTCAATGCAGCCAAGCTGTGAACCCCCAGGAGGGAGAGAGGGGAGAGAGTGAGGGCGAGAGGGTTCTGAGGACAGCGAACATGAGGAGAACAGAGTACGTCAGAAAGAGAGAAGCCGGCAAAGACAGAGACTTTCAGGGTCAGGGAGTGAGTCAGAAACACAAGGAAAGGATTTAGAGAGTGACAATAGATGCCACCAGCTCTTTCTTTGCCATCACACGCAACACATGGGTGGCTTTGGGGGCTACGAGCAAGATTGCGGCAATATTTATGCCTCTTTCACCGAAAGTGCCGCAGCAGAATGGCAAACGTATGCTTAGCACATATGGCAAAAGTACAAATACTGATTCAACTCCTGTAAATAATTAAAACAAGTACACATTCTGGAATGTACTTATGTAATAAGAAGGTCCCCAACTAAACCCCAGTAAAAGAGGGAATATATGCATGTGAGTATTCATTCTGCTCCGTGTGCGTTAAAGGTTGTTTTAAGGTTTATTATTAATCTAACATCAATTCTAATTTCCATTAGTCCGTCTATGGTGTTTGATATTATATGTTAACATTAAGCTAATAGCAGACTTTCATTATGAAATGGCTTGGGTGAACATTTTAATGTTCAAATGTACAAGGTTTCATTCTCTTGTATTATAGGTCAGTTTTACAGTCAACATCACCTGGGAGTGAGAAACAGCTTGAAGCAAGCACGCACCGTATTTAGAGAACTGTGCAAATCAGTCTTCTTTTCGTTTCAGAAATACTTTAAAAAATGTCCCTCTTCTCAGGCATTAAATATTTTTTTATGTAGAAGGCAATGAAATTAGATGAGTAAAACAGAGATAAGGCACTGTGCTAAAGAGCATCAAAATTCCAATTAAAAACTCCAATTAAAAAAAACATTGATTGGCCGGCCACCGATCGTGATCGGACAATTTTTGTGGAAAAGTATGTGAGCATTGATCGCCTATCAAAGCCTTTTATGGTCAATTGATCTCCCTCAGTGACCAATTGTTCCTCACCACAACTCCCGGAACTCCATTAACCTGCCAATGGAGTCGAAGCACCTGTGGCTAAAGCCACTCTGCGGTAGGAATTTGGATTACCTATGTCTGCCAATATGTACTCTAACCATCTACAGCAGTTGCAAAGAATAAATAAAGGTGTTTTATTTCATTACAGAGAAATCTGTACCTTAATTGAATTTAATAACAGCCAGTACTGTAATACAAAATGTAGTGTTTATGAAATATAACAACTTTCACCAGCAATGTTGATCACATTGTCGATTGAAACAAGCTATTGACCTGCATGTCACTATTTAACAACCAATCTAAGATAACGGTTTGTTTGGAGAAAAAAAACCAAAACAAAAAGACATAATGTGAGCATTAAATATGACACACATTCAATGACCGCGAGAAGAAACGTCCTCAAATCGTCATGAAGTAAATGTACAGCGACACCCAATCTACTCTGTGCAGTGTGCTTACTGCCGTGTTCTATGTTCACTGGTGTCACAAAAATCCCCCAAATCAAGGATGTATGTTCTAGATTTTCTAGGGTTTTGTTTGTTTGTTTGTTTGTTTGTTTGTTTCTAATTGTCTGCTCACACAAAAGGCCATAAGTTAATACTTTAGGTTAAACTTGTTAGATTGGACAGAAGGAAGTACTTTTTTAGGGAACTAGGTAGTGACATTTTGCATTGGGCGTAAATTCAATCCCTGCGGGTCCATTTGTTACATTACAGTATATGGGCTATTTCATTTAATTGTATGCAATGTTTGATGGCTAAAATAATAATAATAATAAAAATGGATTAATTAAACACATAACTTCTATTGGATGCGAGTCTTTCAGTATCACCGTCAACTGATGCGAAGCTTTTTGCTTCTCTGCTGCAAGAGAAAAAAACAGCGCGCAGGGATCACTGGAGGTTGTTTCTGTCAAAGGCCAGATGTAGAAGCAAAAATAGCATGACACACGAGGAGGCTAAACACGACGACATGCCGCAACGAGCCAGGCCGGCCGAGGAGGAGACGGAGAAGGAGGAGGAAGAGAGGTCAGGAGAAAGAGGAGAAGAAAAGATGGGCGTCGTATTAATAGAAACCAAGCAGCAAGGCCGATGGAGGCGCAAATGACAATCAGAACAATGATAGCGGAAAAGTCATCAAGGTGCCTTTGAGGCCCGTGTTATGTAAGTTTATGGACCCTGTGCAGTCGCATCGACCCCGAGCCGAGCGTGTTCATGTTGGCAACGAGCGGTCCGGGTGCAGTCGGCGGGCCAGATTTATAGACAAGCGGCAGACAAGAGACAGACTGAAGAGGGAAAATAAACTCCTTATTTATCCCATCGGGGGAGGGGGGAATAAATACGAAATGCAGCCGCTCGTTTATATAAAAATCCACCTTTGTGCTCGAGAGCAACAACCAATGGGACAGTTTGGGGCTCCAAAAAGAATTTACTCTCTACCTTAATTTGATGCTGTGAAATATTTTCCGTGCTAACAGAAAAAGAGAATGCAGAAATGATGCTTATGACGCTTCATTAGGCACACATTGGCAGAGTCATACGAGCCAATACAAGAGTTGAATCAAATATTATACATATATTGATAATATTTCCTTCACATGCAGCCTACTTTGATGTTTTCTAGCGTATTATCATCATCAGTATTATTTTTACTTTAACTGTAAGTAAACACAGTTTAAAATTACTAGATTACAGTCAAAGTAAAAATGGAAAAATTTCCTGTACAAGCTAGGTAAAAGAAAACAAATTAAATTATGATCATTATTATTATTATTTTTTTTTATGTCTCCAAAGTTTTGTAGACTTTTTTGGTATTATTTATTGAAAATAAGAATAAGAAGAATAAGGAGAGTTAATATGTCTGTGTGTAATGTGTTCTTTGTATGCGTTGCTAATCCATGTGTGAAAGGAGCATTTTTATTTATTTATTTATTTTTTTGTTTTCAATTATGGTAACATGTCTGCTAAATTCTGTTTGCCCATCTATGGCATTTCACATGACATGCTAGCATTAAGCTTGTGGCCTTTTAATGCTATGAAATTACATGGTGTGGTTGGAAATTTTGACATTTCAATAAACAATACAGTAACACGTATTTACTTATATAGTGGTTTCTTAACAGCTGCAGCTGTAAAAAGGCACTTGACAGAACATTTCACATAAAATGACAAAAGTACAACAGAACATAGAACATAAAATGTCGACAATAATACAATTGTAACAACTACTCCTACAACGTTTAATTCTGTTCATCTTATGTGTCAGTGTTACAGGAAACCTCAACTGGGAGTGACAAATAAAAAGCTGGATGCAAGCACACTTATTCGGAGATGTGTGCGAGTGAGTTCTTCTTTTTGTTCCTGCAAAGTGATGTTATAGTTTCAAGATTCTCTCTTTTTTTGAGTGCAAGAGAGTGAGAACCTTAAGCCTCATAGGTGCTTCTGAAACACAACCTTGGCAGTAAACGGGGCTTTCACTGCATCATAATCTGGGATCTGTTGTGTCATAGTACCTGGCGTGATGGCCACTCCGTTGCCATTGACGACAGGGCTCTCCTCTTCCTCCTCCTCTGGCGGCTCCAGGCTGGCGCGCTGCTCCATGTTGCTGACCGACTGGTTCCTCTTCCTCTTGCCCTGGGCGCTGGGCCGGGCTCCGGGCAGCAGGGCCTCACTTACATTAAGAGGAGGGGCTGCTGGGGACGGCTCTGCTGGTGGCTTGGGTGTGCCGTAGAAATTATCTAATGAGGACCACAGAGAGACACAAAAATAGTTCAATCATTTGTATGTAATATACTGTAATCAAGTTCATTATAATGAAGCAATTCATTGAGAGCATGCATGTTAAATGTACAATGGTTTATCTTAAAATAACATTTTCATTTATTAATTCCAACACTGTTTTTGCAACATTACAATTTCTTGTTATATTACAATGTTACTGTTGTAAAATTGGAACATTAGGGGTGTTCACACGGCACACATTTGCACCGGTGCTGCACCGACGTATTTTGTTGTGATATATCTTACACCGGTGTAAATTTTGTGGAGCGTTCACACGTAAAAAGCTGCTTCCTAAAGAGAAGCGTGTTAACCCCGGTGCAGCCCCACTTGCGTTCACACGGCAGTTTCTGCGGCCGTGCAATAAAACATGCGCATGCATAAAGTGTACTTTCTTTTCCCCGCCTTGTTTGTGACACATCGAAAAACCATGGTTTATACTTCTCCAGACAAATAAACGCTGTGGTCTATCAGACACCATGAAGGATGAGAGAAGAGAGAAAGGAAAGATGACAGAAGGACAACAGAGCACGAAAGCAACGCATTCAATACCCGTGTGTAATCAACTCTTCTCATGCGTCGCGAGTCTATCCCTGTAGCGTTCACACATCCCATTTTATATCGTTGCTGCCTCGCAAACTAGCATTTACTCCGGAGTAAATTTTTAAACCACCTCCTGAGCAGGGTTAAGTTTGATCCGGTTTAATCTGTTTTCAGGGGCTATACCGGTATAACTTTGTATGTGTAAACGCTCTATGGGGGGCACCCTCGGTGCTACACCGGAGTAAAAGTTGCCGTGTGAACACCCCTATTATGTCGTCACTTTGAAAGTTTTCTCGTGAAATCACAACTTTATGATCATAACATTATGAATGACATCATCTCCAAACTTAAGAATGATTGTTTTTGCAACATTTGATGTGGTATATTCACATCTTTTGATCCTAAGATTATTGAATTTGAATTTGACTTTTATTAGGTCTCCCGTAGGAGAAACTTGTCTCAGAGGACAGACTGTTTTTTTTTCATGGCATTATGAATTTAACAAACGTTGGACTTTTTCCTCCAAAAACCTAGACTTTACAACTCTGTTTTTTTTTTTTATTTGTATTACTCACAATAGATCAATCAACATATCATATAATGAGACAAGGAAAAAATAATCTACACACACACACACATATATATATATATATATACACACTATACACGTGAAAGACCGTTGACCATAGAAAACAGTTGTCCATAAATATGAGTCATCCATTAGTACAACAGTAATAAAAAATAAAAAAAAATGCATTTGGATTTGGTAACACTGAAGCTTGCACCATGTCGAAAAATAAGTTATTCAACTAAGACAAAAGGAAAATGTATTTCTTAAGAATGACTAAAAGCTGGATCACGACTGCTGGATGTATACTTGCGCTGTTCCATCATTTATTATTTATCCTGTAAAGTCGCTGTGGCATGACAAGTGAAATGAAATATTACCACAGACCGACAGCTTCCGACCGCACAGCGATGAACATCAGAGGCCTCCAGCCTTTGTACCACATCTGCTCCTTACCCCCAAAAACACGCACAGTCACACATGCACGCACACACCACAATGACGACTCAGCCTGCTCTTGCACACCTGCTTTGAAGCCTGACTGTCCCTTGGGGCAAAGCAGCAGCATTTGTTGGGGAGCAGAAAACCTGCTGTTGCATTCAAAGACGCTGAAAAAAACTGGTTAATTATCTGGTGGAAAATGAGAAATTGCTCACTGCATGCTCATCGGAGTGCCCGCTGCTAACCCTATCAAAGATCTGCTATCATATGTTTCTACGCTCTTTCGTGGTTGTCGGTTTGTGACCAATTTTTAAGCAATCCTATTTTTTAATGGGTTTTTACTGGACACAGGCAAGTCTCTATTTAGAGTTGAGTGCCACGTTGTGCCACAACAGGACAGGCAGCACTGGGCTCTGCTGGAAGAAGGGCAGTTTAATAGAAGAAGAGACAGAGAAATGCTCAGGAACTGCTCAGTAGTAATATCTATACAATATCCATCATTTTTCACAGAGGATAAAGACTATGCCTGTCAGTATTGCTAGATTGTCTGTCTACTTGTGTTGCTTTGAAATTTTTCTGAAACGGCTTCTGAACTTGTTGTGCTTTTGGCAGTTGTATTAACAGTCATAAGACGTTGAATTTGTGCTGACGAGAAATGTTTTGAACTGGCAACCCGGGCAAGGAGGAGAGAATGTTGTTGTGATAAACGCTGTTTTCCAGTACGTTCCCGGGGATGAGGAACATATAAGAGTTAGTCTGAGGGTCTTCGTTTGAAAAAAAACAAAAAAAACAAAACACTTCAACGTTGACCTGGGCTCCTTTTCATTTTGTGGACAAAGCGCGGCGCAACACGTGCAGTCAACTTTATGCTAATGTGCTTGCATTGCGACAAACCATTGGAGAAGATTCGCCGGGTGCCAAGTGTCTGGCATTCTCACATTGTTTAAGTCTGAGAGAGTGGTAGAAAGTGGACTCACGCAAACAATATGAAAACAAAACGCCGGTTTCAGGTCATAATTTATGCATAATTTTGGCTCATGGGGCATAGGAATGAGGTGGTTAGCATTAAGCTAGCGGATTTAACATCAACTGTTTGGTAGGACATTTTGATGTTGAAGCAAGCACGCTTGCCCTTTTGTTTGCTAAACTGCAAACAGACGCTAAAAATGTTTAAAAATGCTTGGGAGACGTGTAAAGAAATATTTAGTTCTTCTGGTCTCTCTCACAGTCTATGGCGGATTTTCAGATATTGCTGGTAGGTCTGGAACATATTACCCGCGATGAATGAGGTTCACTAAATGGCTTTGTTGATCATATTAAATGGTCATTTGTCCTTCCTTTGGGGATTTCTTACCCATTTATTGTGAAAGCAGCCAATGCTCTCAGCCCTTGTTTGAATGTTAGCATGGGAGGAAGCAAGCGAGCACTCGGATTGTGTTCCACTCGAAGCCAAATTGAATTTTCAGCATGTTTATCAGATTGAGGTCGAGATGGTGGGAGGGAAAGGCCACGTGTATGTTATCTTTCAATTCTTCATGGACATTCCTCCACTCGGCCTCAAACGAGACTTTCTTTGCGTTTCATTGTCTTTTCTTGTTTCGCACAAAGGTCCACATTGTTGTGTGAGGGGAAGAGTGTTTTTCAATCAGTGAATAAACAGCTCTCTGACTGTGTCAATCAATATGAAGCACGGCTATCTTTGTAAAAGCGTAATTTTTCATACAGTACATCTCTTGTATTGGCCGTAGTGAGATTCTTCATGGGTACCAAATATTTTGCTGCATAAGATGTCCTCAAAGCACATGACACTTAAAAGTGGCATTCATCCTCCATCATCTGATCCGCTTATCCTACAAAAAATTGAATTCATTTTGTGACCAAGCTCATAACTCAATTTTCTCTTATTTCAAATCCATTTTGCCTATTGAAATAATTTAAATGCCATCAACCCCCAATTTCCCAAATTATGATTTTTTTTCCCCCTCTAAACCTCTGACTTTAATTTGCATGAAATTATGAATATATCACTCGCCCTTATTATACTGTGACTTACTTTATTTGAATGAAATTTCAATTTTTTTTCTCCATGAAAAATATGGAATTTTCTTTTGGATTTTTTTTCATTACTAGTTTAACTTAATCCTACAAAAAAGGTCCAGCACGAACGCGACCCCCGTAAGGATAAGTGGTTCAGGTAGGAAGATAGATAGATAGATAGATAGATAGATAGATAGATAGATAGATAGATAGATAGATAGATAGATAGATAGATAGATAGATAGATAGACATACTGTTTGATCACATGGATGTAGCTTTCTTTTTCAATTGTCATGACAAAAATGGCATAAAAACCACATTGTTGAATGTTTTGCTTAAGAAACTGTTGAAGACCTTTGACCATTGTTTTGTCCTTCACAAGTCTTTCAAGATCAAATTTGACACATTTTAACACGAAAATGACTCAATACACAGCTGTCCAAAAAGACACAACTGACTGCAGAGAGCAATCAGCGCATGCCTCCTGAGAAGCGCGCGTGTGCGTGTGTGTGTGTGTGTGTGTGTGTGTGTGTGTTAAGGCTTTGTTCCAGCACACATGCCCACAAAGCTATTGGGCAAATGAACCAGCAAGCCCCCTCCATCTGTACATGTCTCCCTTGCAGCATAGCAAAACACATGACAAGACACACGCACGCACTATACTTCTACATCTCCATCACCAATTACACTGGTATTAAATGCCCTTTTTGCAAATGATGTTGAACCAAGTTAAAGTGTTGAAAATGACTTGAGAACAAATCCGAAAACTCTTTTGGAGATTTGAAGTGTCTGAGAAGTGTCATAAAACTCCACTGGAGCTGTGTTGCATTTTGTCGCCTCAAGATGAAAAGTCTGAGTACTTTAGTGAGACAATAATGACTGAAAATTAATAGGTTGGGTACATTAACCTGTTTTGTCTTGTCTTAAAATGTTGTCTTGTGTTAAAATGTTTTGTCTTAAAATGTAAATGGGCTCTAACTTTTCTAGTGTTTTATTAGCACCCCCGGCACTGTAGGGGGGGTAATTCTAACACGAGTGACCAGGAGGTGCAAGGCGGACTCCAAACGCCCATGTTGCACACACCACCAACTACATCATCCGAAAGGGGAGTTATTTACGTGCCAATGTAATGCACAAACTCCAGCGATCTAATTGTTGTGTCCGCAACATAAGCATGGCGTGCTTGAGCGAGCAGTCCGTACCGCCCCTGATTTTGATCAAAATCAAGGATGCCGCAAGGATTAGGTGGTTAGGTGGGGAAAACACTAAGTTCTATCCCACAATGGCTCACAAAGGCACAAACGTCTCATTATCTACCGCCGCAAAGTCGAGCAAAATATCAAAATAAAGAAAACTCCACCCATGCGCGCAGTTAAAATGCTTTTCGCGCTAGACTTACGCCCGGAACAAAAATAGGGGTCAATGTGCTTTTGTATTATTAGAATGACAGTGCAAAGTAAATATTCCAATCATTTTTCATTCTTTGAAGGATTAATATGAATGTGGGCAATTGCAATGGCTTAATTTTAGTGAGATTAGTACACATTCCGATCCATTAGCCATGAATGTACACTATAAACACGCTAGATATGAAATAATCATCAAAACCTCAAGTATCATATTATGAATATTGGGGCCCAGTGCCATTTCTGACAGCGCCACCGCCCGGACGACCTTGCATGGCTTGTAACAACAAGTAATAGGCAAGAGGATGATCAGTGCCTATTTTCTCCCCAGTAAATAAATCTACAGTAGTGTACCTGATGAGACCAATCCTGGACTGGTCGCCAGTCATCCATTCACAGAGCACATATATATAGACTGTTCACTCTCACATTTATACAGTCATTGAGTGGGAACAGAAACAATGCTGCCTGCACCTTAGTCAGGCAAGAATTACACATTCTGTTGACACCCACAAACATGCGCGGAAGGAACTTTGGTGAGAAAACTTGTCGATCTAAACATTAGCGTGACATTTTTAGTATTTAAGCAGTATAACTTACAGTCTGGGTTTATGTGGTGTCAAAATGTGCACAGTAAAATGTGAATTGAAAGCATTTTAGTTCCTGCAAGTATTTATCTGTATTAAAAACGAGGCAAATGTGAATATTTACTTTGCAAGTCATTTTACCGTGTGTGCCCCTAAATTTTCTTCCAGCACTTGGGACTACTGTGCTCTGAGTAAAATATTAGTCTGGAAGCCTAAATAATGATTTTTAAGCATATTAAATTACTGAACCCAGCCGCTGGGGGGCAGTGCCCTCCCCTGGGGGTGCACTGTTCCCCAGTGCCGGTCCCAAGCCCGGAGAAATGGGGAGGGTTGCGTCAGGAATGGCATCCGGCGTAAAACTTTTGCCAAGACGACCATGCGAGTTGGTAGGACGGTTTACAGGGGCGGATGGAAATTACTGACTCGCTGTGGCGACCCCTGAATAGGGATGTGCCGAAAGGAGTAGAAGAAGAAGCATATTAAATTACTGATTGGACATGATTTGGGGATGCTGTTGTGTAAATGCTTGTGCGCAGCGGTGTACAAGGTTGTTATACACAACTTGAACAATGCGGTGTTTGGTCATTCAAGCAAGACGGATTTTTTTTTTCCTAAAAAGTAGTAATTTTGGAGAATTCCGCCCAAAAGCGATGATATGTAATTATATGATGATGCGATTATACATTTATTTGGTTTCACACTCATAACCAGCCTCTGAGGGAAACCGATGTGGCACGCAACAAAAATGAGTTTGACAACACCGCACTACACTGCCAGTGACTCAGTTATGCAAATAAATATAGAAATAAATAAATCCTCAGACCTAGTCATGAAAAGTATCTCAAGTATAAGTTACGTTATAACAGCAAACTTGCATCACAGAGACAACGTTTCCCTGACACTCACCTTCATAGGTTCCACTCTCTAGTAAGGCTCCGCTTTGCTCCAATTCCATAAAACGTTCCACAGTTACGAAGTTGTAGTCCACCCCCGGCACCTCCCCCTCCTTGGGCTGCCTGGTCGTACCTGTACAGAGAGAGACACACACAGAAAGAGAAGATGGAGGGGTCAGGAGAGCCTCTTGAGAAGAAGAAAAGGCAGGAAGGTAGTGGAAACACAAGTAGCAACACAAGCTTAGTCAGAAGTCTTCGTGCCAATGCCAAAGTCAATCACACAATTGGGAGTGAGTGCCAGAGAGAGAGAGAGAGAGAGAGAGAGAGAGAGAGAGAGAGAGAGAGAGAGAGAGACAGAGAGAGAGAGAGAGAGAGAGCTCCAACTCGCAGCTGCCTCGGTGAACCCCCATTTATTGCGGGGACACCTTCCAGACCCAAGTGCAAGAGGTAAATAATAATGATAAAGAGACCATTTCTGGAGAACGTGTTTTGTTTTTTTAAATTAATTGTTGTGATTAATTTTACACACTGTAAACTTATTAAAACACAATTTCTAAAATATTCTTAAGCACCTGCTCTCATTCACAGTTCTGCAAATAAGACCAGAGTGAGGATAGGCAGGATGGAGACAGACAAATATTTAAACAGCAAAAGGTTTAACCAAACGATGTGATAAACAAAGTCCGCCTGCTTAATCCTATCATACATTGTAACACAAAATACCATTGGGAGGAATTAAGACAAAACAACCATTCACATCCAAGGACAGTTCCGTCTTCAATGTACTTAATGGAATTTGCAACGTTAATCGTGATATGACTCATTGGATTTTCAAAATAAAAGCCATCAATTGGATGATTTTTGTTCGGGTGGCAGTGAATTCCATTCCTTTCACAATGGCAGCATTTTGGCAAATAGTGAACAATTCTTCAAAAAAAGTGTCTTCAAGTGGCTTATTGCTACTTCCAAAGGTTTACTGTTAAACTGAACATAAAACAAAGAGAAGTACAGTACACATGCATTTATCCCAACCACAGTTTAGCCTTCAATCTGCGAATTTAATCCAAATGTTATTTAGCATTGACGTTGCAGTGCTTAAACCCTTTTAAAAATGAATTGAAAACAAATAGTGCAGTGACAACACGTACACTGACATTCTAGCGGTGCTCACATTCAATGAATAACTAATATTTAATGCCGCACTGATGAGCTGAGAGAGGATTTGAGGAGTAAAAATTATTGGCTGATATTGATATGCACATGGCGGTCACAAGAGAATGACCATTATTCAACTTGTCTAATGTGACAAAAATTGTTTCCTTACTTTAAATTGTATTTAATACTGTTATTACTGTATGTTTTTAGAAAAGTACAACATTATGGAGTGCTATTTTTTCAAGTGCACAATCTTTGTTGTTTTTTTTTTGTACAAGGCTAAAATGGAATAACAGCATTTCCTTCCATTCCAATGGGAGAAGACAATTTTATATATGGTATAAGTGTTTTGCATGACCAGCTTGGTCACGTAACACATAAAACTCACATGTCAAGGAATATTGTAAATATTAGCCATGCATACAAACAGAAACAATACAAATGGGCACATTGCATATTCTCTGCTCAATGGAAACAAAGACTTTTGGCTCTCTCTTTACTCTAAGCGAGACCTGAGCACTGCTTGGCATGTTACGGCTCAATGTAGTCCAAAAATGAAGGCGCACAAACTCTAAATTACATCTTGCCTGTACACAGTAGAAACCCATTTTAATCCACGATGTAGCAAGGAAACAGTAATGGCTCCATCAACTGGGTACGTTCTCTTTTAAATTTTTTTTTTTTAAAATCAAGCATAACTCAAAGCTCCTGACACAGCACATAGTGTGCACACAACAGTAACGTGGAGGCATTTAGGCTTCGAGCAATTAGAGGCTGCCAACGCTCCGGAGAGCTCCATCAGCGGGGCTCTGTGATGGGCCTTAATGGCAGCTTTGGGTTTAATGAGGTGCTTGTGTTTGCGCTTCGGCCAAGTCCACTTTGAGCCCAGTGAAGTCCACATGAAAGCATGGAAAATCCACTGGGGGCCAGGCTATGCGTGCATAGTCAGAAGCGAAACCCTGGCCGCTAAAGCCAAGGGGATGCGATGGCACAAGATTTGGCGTGTGTGGCATCATGTGTGTTTGTGGGCGGGTGTAATGGAGCAGACCTTTTGTATGTTTGTGTGTGTGTGTCAGTGATGGGAAGTCACCAAGTACATACTTTGTTACTATTCTTTGGCAGACTTTTTGGGGGTACCGTCACAAATCATCCATTCCAATTGAAATGATTGTAAATGTCTCTAATTTGTTCCAGTTGACCCCGAACACCACCCAAATTTTTCTAATGTGTTTTTTAATGAGAAAAATAGAGACTTCCTGATGTTCATGACTTTTATGTGGACCTATTTACTAATTTATTGCTTGTGTGATTAAATTTCGGTGTTTTTTGGGTGTCTTCCTGCTCTGGTGCTGGTCACCAATCTGACGTTTGATGCCATTTCACCAATCAAGCAAAGCCAGCCAGCCACATGACTGAAAGTGATTAAAGTGACCCATTTCTGTCAAGTCTGGCCGTAGAAGTGAAGGATGCACCAGCATGCGACTATTGAGTTTCAAGAAGACTACCCCCTGCCTAACATTAAGCCAATGTTCATTTGCTAATTACAATTAAGCATATGAAAAAAATAAAAGTTCACGCATAATAATGAGCTGTCTTTGTTGGACTATTCGTGGAAATTTCAGCCGACAAAAGCTTGGGAAAGCACGTTCTGGTAAGTTGTCAGTGTTTTGCTTGTTTTGCCTGGGCATATGCTACCAGTTTCATGGTCATATGTAGACTAACTGTCAAATGTGTATCTTTTGGAGTACATGCTGTAGGCTGTCTCTCTCACACACACACACACACACACACACACACACACACACACACACACACACACACACACACACACACACACACAAAGCAACTAAAATGCCAAAACTTCATCACTAAACTTGGTCAACAGGAAGGCTCTTCATTCAGTTATTTTGGTGAATAAAGCATTTTTTTTTCTGTTAAACACTATGCTTGCACAGTATTGTTGATTTTAAATGTCTAGGTCACAAAATATTCAACTACACTTTTCTGGTGATGACTCAAATTTTGATTAATAAATTCCTTATAGCTTGATTGATATTTTTTTTGGATTCACTCCAACAAGCTGAAGGAGTAGCTGACTTAATAAAAGTAGAATCCCACAGAAAGCAGAAGCTCAACATCATTGATGAAGCTTTTATGAAGAATGCAAAAATAACAAATTCCATTCTCGTTTTTTTATTAAATTTTTTATATTATAAAGATTGTATTTATAGTTTTTAGTTACTGAGTTGTTGTTGGACAATGGCTGAATTTGCGCATCCAGTACTTCATTTTGTTTTTGCTTTGATGAAAAAATAAATGACCTAAGTTACTCACCAGTTAGTCAGTACTCAATTAGTTTTTCTTTTACTCTTTTAAGGAATTGTTTGGAGGATTACTATTTACTTTTACTTGGGTCCTAATATTCTAAAGTAACAGTACTGTTCTTCATTGCAATTTTTGGCGACTCTACCCACCTGTCACCATGTTAGACTAATGCAGTAATGAGTTACGAAGTAACGGGTTACTGTTATCACTGCTTATATGATGGTAAATGGGCATTCAATTACATACAGAAGACAGCAATATTTTTTCCCCTCCTCAGTATGGACACTTAGTAAAAAAAATTTAAAAAGGGGGAAATTATTCTGTGTGCAGTTATTAAAATGGCAAATGTATATGGCTAATGGACAGAAACATGTACTTAAGTACATGTCTGCGATTGTACTTTTTTTACTTTATCTATACAAGTTCAGGAGTCAATCTATTCTTTTACCACCTCTAGCTTTGAGTTTGTGTGTGTGTGTGTGTGTGTGTGTGTGTGTGTGTGTGTGTGTGTGTGTGTGTGTGTGTTTGCTTCTTAATTTATAGCTCTTGTACCCGCTGAGCCGGCACTTATCCACACGTGATCAAAGCACAGCAAGATAACACGAACACTTTCATTTCAGATTCATGTGGACAAAAGTATTGTCCACATGACATCCATCAAGAACAACGGGCAATATGCTGCTGCATTTGACCGAATGTCACAAATCCACATGTTAAAGAGCAATGAAAAACTGCTTAGAAAAGGGCAAGCTATTAACAAAAAGAAAGCCTGAAGAGTGATTGGTTGAAGGCTATTTGTGTCACATCCATTTGGGCCAATCGGATCAAGTAGAGGTAGACCACTGGCTTGACATGTTGTTGAGCCTTCATAAAACCCTCCAGTTGTCCACGAATTGTTTGGTTCTGATAAAACTGCCGCTACAGTTAAATGTTTAGCATCTTTATGATTTCTAGCTGTTTCATTTGCTTCACTCTTCTGCTGCTGCAAATTCATCCCCTGGGACATAAAACAAATTCAACACGGTTCTCGAGTAGGAGATGTTTCTGCTTTTTTCTTCCATGCTGCACCATTCTTTTTTTGTGCCACATGAAAATGCCTTTATGAAGGCCGCTGTAATATCGGTGCAATGGAGCCGAGTACATTAAACTTTAGCGCGTTCCTCGTAGAAAATAAAAATGTATCTTGAAGGGGACGTGCTTCTCGGCAGTCCGCCTTCCGCGGGGCACAGCAATCGATCTGGACGATCACAATCAAATTATTCTGCTGCCCACACCACAGGAAGCAGAGCCTGCCGGAATACTGATGACCCGTCCGTGGCCTCCCATCCCACTGATTCTGTGTGCAGACATGCCAAGATAGAAAGACAAAACATTTGGATGTGACTTTGAATGAAAATGCAAATTTCTTAAAAACGATTCTCCCTGACCCCGAATCTTAATCTGTTGAGAGAAACTTCTGTGGCACCTTGTATTGTAATAGCCGCTGCAACAGTTTTGAAGCTAACGGGGCTAAATGCCACGTAGTTCTCAAAATTTTGAGACCAACAAAAAAATATTCTTGGTCTTCCTAGAGATACCATCAGGACCGATCTTAATATACAGTCTGTACTTGAGAAAAAGAGTTGTAATATTAGAATAAAGTTGGAATTTAAC